ACACACACACCACACACACAGCAGATACCACACACACACCACATACCACTTACCACACACACACGCACCACATGACACACACACCACACAAAACACACACAGAGACAGATATAGAAAGAAACAAGAGAAGCCAAAGCAGGTGGGCCGTCTAGAGTCCACCGCTCACTGGGAAGCAGGCGGAGTCCCGTTCCCCTGACCCCGCCCCGCCCGCTGCCCCTGAAGCCCCTCTCCCCGTTTTCAGTCACCTCTGCCCCCTGCCTGAGGATTCCCGACCCGAGAACCCAGGACCCCGGCTGGGCAGGGCCACCGAGCCCACCTTGAAGAGCTGGCTGCCTGCCGTCACCTGGACGATGGTCCCTCGGCCCCGCTTGTGCTCCGAGGACTGCAGCCCGAATATCTCCCGCAGGAACTCGTTCCGGGAGGAGTGGACCAGGGCAAGGATGTCCGTGCTCAGCACGTCCCGATTCTTCTCCAGGAAGCCTGCAGGGCGTTGTAGTTTCTTATGTCAGGGTTGAAAGTAAGCTCACCACACGAGATGAATTGTGCAGAAACACAACAGTAGAGGGCTGCTGCTCTCTCAGGCAATACAGCGGCCGTCTCGTCCTGCTGTGGTGGCTTTTATTTAAGCTTTACCTATGTTTACATCTTAAGACTTGTTTTCTAAACATTCCAGAAATACCGAAGCAGCCAGATATGCTTTTACTGATTATACAATAAACGGTGGGCTTTCTTAAGAACGTGCCCGTGCTTCGTCCGTCCTCGAACGCGAAAGCAACACAAGGACATTTCCTTGTGTTCCCATTATTCTGATTATACTGAGGACATTTCATGGATCAGCGCCCACAGCACTCAGGACTGCTTGCAGTTCTGGCTTTTTCCCACGCACCCAGCTTGCCGGGGGGACTCATGGGGCACGTCTCCTTCCATGTCCTCAGTTATTTCTCTACACGGGGAAGCAGAGTCCCCCACCCGCCACCGCTGCTGACTCCAGCGAGGGGCGGGGCGCGGGGCGACAGGAGTCCCGCAGGCCACCCCTCCAGGCCTGCCTCCATCACCGGGGACCGGCGCCGGCCGGTGTCACGGCCACAGCCACATCCCGCGGCCGGCACTAGCCCCCATCCCCACTGCCGCCCCCATCCAAGCCGCCACCAGTCCTTCCGCCTGATTAGCCTGCCCGTCCCCTGCCCTCCCTGCCTGCCTGGCCCCTCTGGCCCCAGGGACCTTCCCAAGAGGGCACATCGCCCGTCACCCCTCTTACCTTTCCTCTGCTCCTCTGCTGCCAGTGACTGCCTTCTCCCTCCTCTCTCCCCTGAGGCCTGCACCCCACCCCAGGGAGACCTCATCTCTCCCCCAGGCCCTATGTGCCCCCCCCAGGGGATTTCATCTCTTCCAGGGGGGCCTGCAGCCTCCACAAGCTCTCTGGGGCCCTCTACCCTCCCGTCCCACCCAGGCCAACTCTGGTTTGTGCTTCAGGCCAGCTCAACCGTCATCTACTCCAGGAGGCTCTCCTGTGCCACAAGTGGGGTGAGAGGCCCTCCTTGGGGCTCCCTTCCGCCCTGTCACCTGGCTCAGGGGTGGCCTGAGGACTTCCCATCTGCTCCACCAGCCACGGCTCCCCGGGTGGACCACGGGCGAGACCGAGTCCATGCCCCTCAACATCCCAGCAATCCCAGCCACCGCTGTCACTGCCACATACACCCAGGAACCCACTAGCAGCACAGCAGACGGAGCGTCCGTTCCATGTGCAGTTTAGACCTCCCCGAGGGCAGTGCCTGCAGGCTCTCATCAGGGCTCTGAATTTCTGGGGACCCTGGGCAAGTATGATCGAGGCAACTGCGTGTTTACATAAAGGAGCCAAAAGAAGAAGAGAAGGCAAAGGAGAAAGTACAGAAACCTCCCTACCCCTCATAATCCCTGAAAATCTGGCAACCTGGCCACGTCCAGGCAGCTTGCAGTCTGGAGAGGAAGACCTGGGCACTCCCACCTGGAGGCCCACCCTTCCCAGCTGGCCGGTCTGTGCAGGAACGGCCACTTCAAAACGCCCCTGCGGAAACAGCATGGGGGCAGAAGCTGCTTTGCTCTTCCTGGAAGCCCAAAACGGGGAAACGAAAGAAATTAAACACCATTTGGCTTCCTGGCTTCAAGAATGGGGCAGGGGGAACTTACTGGTTATGAGGTCCTGAGACGTATTTCCCTCTTCATCATAAGTTTAAACTGCACTGGTCTTGGAAATGAATGTGTGCCCATAGGCATTGTGTGCACATGCGTGTGAGCATTATGTGTGTGCTTGGACAGAGTAGGTTTAAGAACGAAGCATGTCTGTCACTCACTAAGGAGACCCTGAGGGCCTGGGAACCCCAGGGCCCCTCTACCAGCCCTGTTCTGGGGCCTTGGAAGGACTTTCTAGGGCAAAGGGGCCCTCCAGCCTAAGGACTGAGCCTCCAGAAATCAGGGAGGGCAATGTATGTTGAACCCCTAACCTCCAGTACCTCAGAATGTGACTATATGTGGAGAGAAGGGCCTTTAAAGAGATAATTAAGATAAAATGAGGCTGTTAGAGTGGGCCCTAATCCAGTCTGACTGGTGTCATATAAGAAGAGGAGATAAGGGACTTCCCTGGTGGCGCAGTGGTTAAGAATCCGCCTGCCAATGCAGGGGACACGGGTTCAAGCCCTGGGCTGGGAAGATCCCAAATGCGGCAGAGCAACTAAGCCCTTGTGCCACAACTACTGAGCCTGTGCGCCACAACTACTGAAGACTGTGCGTGGAGAGCCCGTGCTTCGCAATGAGAAGCCACGGCAATGAGAAGCCCACGCGCCGCAACGAAGAGCAGTTCCTGCTCGCCGCAACTAGAGAAAGCCTGCGTGCAGCAACGAAGACCCCACACAGCCAAAAATAAAAATAAATAAATTTATTAAAAAAAAAAAAAAAGAAGAAGAAGAGATTAGGACCCAGAGACAATAAAGATGCCAGAAGAGAGACATCAGAAGGAACCAGTCCTGCCGACATCTTTGTCTTGGACAAAGGCAAAACCATGCCTGACCTTATCTCAGCATATACACTTTCACTACCAAGAGGGTGAAAAGATATCCCACAGAATAGGAGAAAATATTTGCACACATACGGACACATGCTACAACGTGGAAGAACCATGAAAACATTATGACAAGTGAAAGAAGCCAGTCACAAAGGCCACATGGTGTACGATTCCGTTTATGTGAAACGTCCAAAGCAGGCAAGTCCATAGAGACAGAAATCAGTGGTTGCCTAGGGCTGGGGTGAAATGAGGAATGACCGCTAATGGGCGTTTCTTTTGGGGTGATGGAAAAGTTAAAAAATTGTGGCAACAGCTGCATAATTCTGTGAATATACTAAAAACCATTGAGTTGTAGACTTCAAATGGCTGAATTCTACGGTATGTGAATTATCTCTTAATAGAACTATTACCCACAAAACAAAACACAAACAAACATGCCTGGTCCATTCCATTCCCTCTGTCCCATTGCTGGTTCTGCAAAATGACCTAGTCCCCTCAGCCTTCTTTCCTTGGCCTCCCTGGAGTGCTCGGGATTTAGAAGAAAGGGGCTGTGGAGAGGAGCTGCACCCACCTTCTGCCTGGTAGTACACCTCGCCGGCAAAGTGGGCGATGCCAAATCGGGCATCGTGGATGTTCTTGGGCTGCAGGAAGACCTTGTTGTTGGCATGGATGTTCTTCAGTTTTTGCAGCAAGGTGATGTCTGTCCCCTGGAAGAACGGACACCCTATGGGCTGAGGTCCCAGAGTCCAGCCACTGGGAGGTCAGCTGGCACACTCCCAGGTCTCAGGGGCTCCCTCAAGGGGGCAAAACAACTGAATGACTGAGGGCCTTTCTACAGACAGCAAACGGATGCCCAGGTGGCGGCAGCTTGTTGCGGTGAGCGAGGACAGAGGCGGGAGTAGAGACTGGGTCGGGCGATCCTCACTGCCAGCTTCCTGCTCTACAACTGCCCAGGGACCAGAGCTTCTCCCTTCTGTAGATCACAGCTCTTCCTGACTACCTTTGAGAATCCATCTCCCCAAGGACAGGCAGAGTCCCCCAAAGTGAGAATGAAAGTGTTTCCTTGTCTTGAACCCTCTGCAGCCCTTGACCTACAAGGCTGAACAAGCCCCCTCTTGGGGTGTGTTCTTGAATCTAAATAATGCATTCTGGGGAGTGGGAGTGAGGGTAGAGTCAGGTGCCTCCCTGCAGGAGGCAGGCCTTGAAGGAGAGGAAGGCTGGAAGGCTGGGGTTTGTCTGCTAACTCCCGGCAGAGGTTCCAGCAGCCCTGGAGTTTCCCACGTGTGGGGTCTCCACCCGAGGGGTGGCGGGCCCAGGGGCGCACCTGTGGGAAGCGGCTCTCTTCGTCCAGGAGGGAGATGATGCTCAAGGGCTTGAGGGCCAGCAGGTCCAGCGTGGGCAGGTTGTCGTTGTAGCAGATGTAGTCCCAGGGGATGCACTCGGTGCGGTATTCTTCCTGCTCCATGGTGAACACGTGCTGCACGAAGAGCTGCTGCAGGTGCTCGTTAGCCAGGTTGATGCAGAGCTGCTCGAAGCTGTGGGGACAGGGCCACCCCGGGTGGGAAAGGGTTGGCTCAATCGCTGCTGCAGCCGGCCACTGGCACACAGCTGCATATCCCCAAACACATGCGCACACTGACACACAGCCTCCCTCTTCTTCTACCTCCGCCTCCATCACCTCCTCCACCCCACAGCAAACAGACTCAGAGAAATGAGGGGGCTCGTGTATCATCAAGCCCCTGCCTTTGTCTCCCTCCGGTCCCCTGCGGTCCTCTGCCAGACCTGCCTATCCTGACACGGAGACAATCCCTGGGGGACCAAGTTTCCTGTAGCCGCCCAAGCAGCCATGGGCAGTGGCTTTGGTATTAAGATGAGCTTCTGGATGGGCTCCTTTGCATCAACCAGACACACTCCCTACCCCCACCCCAACCCCAATCCTCCCAACCTGTTCTCCCTCCCGGGTTCCCCACCTTGGGAAATGGGTCCGCCACTTACCGCCCCTAGCTCAGGTCAGAAACCAGCCCGTCATGCCTGACACCCCTCTCTCCCTCCTCCCCAGTTCCAGTTGCCAAAGTCTGGTCCACGCTTCCTCCAACACAGACCTGTTTACTTCTTTTCACTGCCACTGCTGCTACCTTAATCCAGGCCACCCTTCTTCCTCCCCTGGAGCACAGCGGCAGCGTCCTCATGGCTCTCCCTGCCTCCAGCCTCACCCCCCAGTCACCCTCCACAGCCACCAGAGGGAGCACATCTGATCCCGCTCTCCCCCTACTTCGAATCCTCGTGGACCTGGGCGCCCACTGTTGTTGGGATCCAGACAGACAGTGACACAGTAGAAAGCCTGCCCGTCTCTGCCAGGGAGCGGCTGAGGGGCACCGTGGACTTCTCACAGTGCTGGGAAGGCACCTGGCCCTTCCTTACCTCCGAGTCTTCTTCACACGTGTGAGCCCCTCCCCTCCTTCCTCTAACCTGCTTGGTCTGCTCACCCTCTGGGTCTCACTTAGGCATTTCTTTTTCAGGATGGGTTGCCCATTTATGCAAAGCCGCATGGTACCCGGGACTCGTTGTTCAAGGTCTGTTAACCCAAGAGAGTTAACACACTGCCTGCAGAGTGTGGACTAAGAATGCTGCCTGTCATATCAGTAAACAAAGGGTGTCACAGCTACAAGCCCTGAGGGAACTCAGGATGGAGACAAGGAATGACCACCATCTAGCAGTCATCAGACTGCAGCCACCCGCAACGATGCACCCTGCACCCGGAGGAGACTCAGGATGGGAAAGCACAGGATACTGGCCCCAGAGAGCTGAGGTGCGTATCAAAGGAATGATTTCAATGAGCCCAGACTCTTGCATCTTCCCATACATAGAAAAGCACTAAATGCCTTAACTTGAGATGTCCGATTTTCTTTAATTAACGATAATCTTTTGATGTTCCAACTACCTGCCTTTTGTTGCAAAACTTTTATATGCCTTGGGACCCCCCTCACCTCCTCGGAGCAGTTTTCTCAGAGTTATTTGAGACGCTGTCTCCTGGGCTTCAAGTCCTAAGAATGTCCACTGAATAAAACATGACTCTCAACTTTGAGGTTGTGCACTTTTTTTCAGTCGACAAGAGCGCTCGGTGAACCCCGGTCGGGCCAGTGACTGGGTGCTGCGAGTGACATGGCCCTGCTCCTCCATGTGGCCCCCGGACTGCAGCCCTGTCGCAAACCCAGCTCGTGGCCCAGATCCCCTACAACCAACTACTCATCCACCTCCACAGGGTCCAAAAGTGTGCTTGCTCTGCTCAACGGCCCCTCTCAGGGCCAGAAACCAATGATCAGAATCACTTTTTAGTTTACTTAGAGTTTGCTTTGCGTTGGGCTGAGTTCTGCCAGCCCTACCCCATCCCACCTGCCTGCAGAGAGCTGGTTCTGGGAGGCTGTCACCCCCATGTGCTTGCACTCGGAATGGCTTGTATCTTGACAATCCTGGCCAAGTTGTTAGGGAAACCGCTGACCGAAACTGCCCGCCCTGGCCAGGCCCGATAGTAACCACTTGCATGAGTTATCTTAAACAGGAGGTCCTGGTAAGGAATGTGGAACTAACAAGCTACCACCAACCGGAAGAATTCGGGAAAGGTCAAAAGAGAGAGGAGACACCAGTCCATATGTCCTCCCAGAATCCTTCTCGTTGGAATCCATCTTGGCTGAGCAATGCACGCACTACCAGGAAGGACCCTGAGTCACAATGATTGGCCAGAGACAACCCGGAAACTAACCCCATCACCATAAAACCTGAGACTGCGAGCCATGTGGCAGAGCAGCTCTCCTGGGTTCCCTTAGCCTCCTGCTCTCCACCCGGGCACCTCTTCCCAATAAAGTCTCTTTCTTCGTCAGCACATGTGTCTCCTTGGACAATTCATTTCCAAGTGTTAGACAAGGGCCTACTCTTGGGCTCTGGAAGTGGTCCCCCTTCCTGCAACAAAGGGACCTTCTCAGACTTCAGCTGGAGGTAGGGCCTCAGGCAGGGGCATGCCAAGGTCAGGACAGCCCCTTGGCTCCTCTAATAGTGCCCAGAGGCCTCCACTTGGAACTGAAACCAAGCAGGACCCTGAGGGACCCTCCTGGGTACAAAAGCCCCCCTGCGTCCCCCGTTTCTTGTTTGTAGAGAAAGGCTTTAGTCTCCCAGGCCACCCCTGAGTTCCAAAGAGCAGACTCAAGCAGTTACTAATTAGGGAAGTGAGGAAATGCAGTCAAGAAACAATAATGCAACGATAAAACAGAGTCCTAGTTCTTCCTCAAGGGGTACACATAACGATCTGATGCATCTCTTTGAGTTCTTCTACAGAAACTAAGACCCCTGCCCAGGTGGAGGATGGTGACTACACGCTGACCACAAGTATGTAGACCCCAGACTGGTTGGAACCAGAAGGTTGATGATTAAGCCACCTGAAACTTCACCCCATTACCTCACCACCAACCAATCAGAAGAAAGTCCACAAGCTGACCACGTACCCTGTGATCCTCACCCCTAAAGTGGCCTTTAAAAAACTTTCCCTGAACGTCATCAAGGAGTTTGTGTTTTGAGCATGAGCTGCCCGTTCTCCTTGCCTGACCCTGCAATAAACGCTGTGTTTTCCTTCACTATAGCCCAGTGTCAGTAGATTGGCTTTGCTGCACACTGGGTGAGCAGACCTGAATTCAGTTCGGTAATAGGACCAACTCTAGGCTCCATCCAGCCCATCCCTTTAAATGAACCAGGCTCACCTGGGTAAGCTAGGTCACGCATGTAGGACGCTTCCTGCTTGCTTGTTCCCAGTCCTCATTTCCTCGTCCTCCAGCCCCCGGATAATGCCCCAGAGCAACACCTGTCCTCATCTGGCCCCACTGCCTGGCTCCCCTCACCACCCCTCTCTACCCCCACCCCCAGCCTTCATCACAGTCTCAGCTGGGAATTACTTCTCTGAACTGCCTCCTGCCTCCAGATCTTCAGCCTCCAGACTGCGACACTGGATCAGAAGTGTCCTGCCTCACCTTACCCCTGCCAAACTGAAGAGTCGGCGATGGTCCCAAACCCCATTACCTAGTATGATATCCCACCTAGATGCAGTTGCATCAGTGTTACTGATTTCCATTTTCACCCTAACCACATGTGACGATTCACTCTAGTTCATGAGGAGAGTGGATGGCTCAAGAGGGGTGATGAATGCTGAGGTGCTTTTAGCTTGACTCTCCGGGATGTTTTTAGTTATGTGGCTTTTTCTAGACATGTTGTGGATGCCAGGGGATGTGCACGGACCACCTCACTGAGGAAAGCCCTAGTCTTGCTGAGGGACTCACCCTGGTGTCTGTGAGCGGAGGTGAGAGGTCCTGCTCCTAGCCCAGAGGGGGAGAAGTGGCTACCCTCCAGCTGGCTCAGAGAAGAGCTAAGCTTATCTTCCATTTTCCAAAAGCAGGTGCACCAATCTCCATACCTATTTTTCTGGAAATTTTCAAAACCAAATATGTCCAGGAGGCCGATGGTCCTTCGCACGTTTTTGGGGTCCTGAGCAGGTGGGGTGAAAATTGCGGCGTTGATTTTCTTGAGAATCCACAGGAAGAGGTGCCCATAGATGCCCTGTGGAGACATGGGGTAGAGCCCACAGGCTATGATGTACAAGAGGAAGGTTGCCCCTTTCCAGTTCACCTGGAAAGGCTGCAGGCACACTGGATCTCATGGACCTACTCAAGGAGATCATCCCTACTTTAAGGTAAGAAACCACCCTGGAGAGACTAGGCAGCCCACAGTCACCAGGCAGGTGACCGGCAGAGTTGGGACTTGCCCAGCTATCTCTGCCCTTTCCTGCTGTCCACCCACAAGGCAAGGAGCCATGCTCAACAGATTGACATGCGGGCCCCTTTTCCCGCAGCTCTGCACCTTGACGAAGGCATCCCTCCGGTCTGCAGCCTGGGAGATGTTCAGGGGCCTGGTGACAAACTCCCCACGGATGATGATGGAGTGTTTGATCAGACAGTCTCGGAGTTCCTGGTCCTTCACCTGGAAGGCGGGTGGGGGCTGGCATCACAGCTGACTGAGCAGGGCCTGGCGCCAACACCTTGTCTTATGACCAAATACCCTATGCCCAAGGCCTGAGGGTAGGAGATGCCTGTGACTAGGGCCAGTGTCGGGATGCTGGGCAGGGCCCGGTCCAGGGTCAGTCTGAGCACTGGGGTATCAGTGTTGGGGAAGGATGCACAAGCTGGGTGGGCCCCGAGCATGCTGGCTGCTTGGTTGACCAGTCCTGTGCTGGTCTCCTGCGGCTGGGTCCACCATTGGGTGGACCCTGGGAAACAGTGGGAAGGAAGGGCTCTGAGGCCCGGCCATTGACATCTGGATACGCCCCAGCTGACGTCACTCCTGCCTGGAGGCTGAAGACCCAAGGGAGCAAGACGAGTCTGGATGGAGTCCCTCCCACCATGCGGGGAAGACTGAACCAGCAAAAATGGAAGGTTTCTGAGAACCCTGAACCACATGAAGAACATTAGGAGCAAAACATGCCCACCTGATGTGATTGCTTCCCCCACCCCTTCTGATTCTATTAATTTTCCACTGGACCTGCCAGCGGGGTGTGATGTGGAGGACATTACAATGCCCCATCGCTCATCCTCCAAGTCAACGCTCTATGTGGTCTCCTTAATAACCTGTAGGGTGAGTGGTCTGAGCACATTCCACCGGCCCAGAATAGCACAACTCATGGAGAAGCCCCGGGGACCAGGACACGGGGCAGGGACCTTTTGATGTAAGGACGTCAGATTGTGTGAGTGGGGAGAGCCTGGGGTCTGGGTGGGGTGGAAAGTTGAGTAAAGGCCACAGAAGAGCAGGAGGGTCAGGGAAAAGGGAAGAAACACACGTTCAAGTCAAACTGATCATTTCCGGGACTTGGTTAATGGTTAGCTCCACGGCCCCACCCTGATTCCCACCCCCAGGGCCTGCAACGCTCCACCAGGGAGCTCAGGGGGTGAGCGGAGAGCCTGGGAGAGGGGTAGGAGGAAGGAACTAGAGCCTGGGAAGGGCTGTCAGCCCAGACCCCCGGGGCTCCTCACGAAAATGGAAGCTGGCCGACATAACAGCCCAGTCACCTCCAGTAACTTCATCACGGTGGGAAAGGCGGGCGTCTCCATCACATCAGAGGAGTCCAGGTTCTCGAAGACCGTAGCTGCAGAGAGAAGCAATGACCCTGAGAGGCAAATTGGCCTGAAGTGATGGGACAGAGGCCTCAGGAAGGCAGCCCCAGGTCCACACTTAGAGACAACCATCCCCAGGAGGGAAGCACTGCCTCTCCCAGTACTCCCTCTGAGAGCCGAGGCCTCCCTGGGGACCTATCAACACCTTAGCTGTAACTACTGTTAACAGGGTGTGTCCCCCTCTGCTAGGATCGGGACCCTGACGCAAAGGGGAGTTTGAAGTTATTGGAGGGAGAAGGTGCTGGTGGGGCATGTGGGGTCTACTGAGGGAGAAAATCAGCCATCAGTCCCCTTCCATCCACTCTGCTGTCCATAGAAACCTAGGCGTGTTCATTCGTTTGGTCAAACAAGCACGGAGCTGAGAGGAGGAGTGGTTGGAAGCCGGGCCCAGCTCTGTTGCAAGTCTCCTGACCCACCTCCTAGTTCAAGTCCCCCACTTTTGGGTCCCTCCACCTTAGGGCTGCTGAGCTGGGGGGAGGAAGGAATGCTGTTTCTGTATATTTTTTCTTTTTTAAACTTTAAAAAACTGTAAAATAAAGCATACAGATTTTTAAAAATGGATAAAATCCAAGGGCATGTTATAACGGATAATTATTAAGCCAACATTGTGTAACGACCACTGAAGCCAAAACCCAGAGCCTCGCTAACACCCTGGTCACCTAGCTACAACTTGCCTGGAGTAGATTTCCTCATATCCTGTGAGACAGTGGTTCAAGTTCATGTTTTCTATATGAATACCCAATCGCTCTAGAACAGTGTTTTGAAAAGTCCATCTTTTCCTCACTGCTCTATGAATTGGTGTCTTTCATTAGATCTAAAGCCAGCCATAATCTCTTCAAATGTTGTGTATGCCCCATCCTTCTCTTTTCCTTTAGAACTCGAATCAAATGTATACTACATCTTCTCACTGTATCTTCTAGGTCTTCTACTCTCTCTTTTATATTTTCCATCTTTTTATCTCTCCATGCTGTACACACAGTTTCTTCTGACATTTCCTCCTTTTTCACATTATAAAACTGGCCGTTAGGGACTTCCCTGGTGGTGCAGTGGTTAAGAATCCACCTGCCAATGCAGGGGACACAGGTTCGAGCCCTGGCCTGGGAAGATCCCACATGCTGTGGAGCAACTAAGCCCGTGCGCCACAACTACTGAGCCCACGTGCCTGCCACAACTACTGAAGCCTGCGTGCCTAGAGCCTGTGCTCTGCAACAAGAGAAGCCACCGCAGTGAGAAGCCCGCGCACCACAATGAAGACCCAATGCAGCCAAAAATAAATAAATGAATAAATAAATAATTTAAAAAATATATATTAAAAAAAATCTGGCCGTTAAACTCATCCATTGAGTTCATTTTGGTTTTTTTGGTTTTTTTTTTTTTTTTTTACTTTAGAATTTCTATGTGGTTCCTTTTAAAACCTGTAATGTCACTTTTTTATAGTTTCCAGTTCCCTGTCTAAATTTTCAAGCTTGGTTTTTTCTTTTCTTGCACAAAGCAAGCATAGCTGCTTCATGGTCTGTGCTCAGTAATTCCACTCTCTGAAATCTACGTGGCTCTGTTTCTATTGTCTATCATGTCTGCTGATTCTCGCTCACGGTATCTCATTTCCTTGTTCTTGTTTATTTTGGGAGGCACGCTGGATGTTGTGTTTGAAACTGTTTAAAGGAATAATTTGGGATCTAGGTTGATGCTATTTTCTTCCACAGAGGCTTGTCAGCAACTCTGTCACTCAGGCGCTTGGAGGCACTAGCAAGCCAGGACACCTTAATCCGCAGACCAACTGGACACCTACAAACTGGTCTGTAAGTTCACACGGGGCTTTGCTTGCTCTGGTTCGCCCTTTGGGTTCCCAGCCAAAAGTGGGGGGTGACTGATCAGAGTCTTCACCTTTGGAGGGCCCTAAGCTTTGGCATCTTCCCCCTAACCCCACAAGGCCTCCAAAATCATAGCTAAAATTTTCAATGTACTTTTCCAAGATGCCGTGACTTTGGTGGGTCCTTTGGGTGAGGACCTGCAGGGATTTTTTTCCTCCTCTGTCCCAGTCTCCCCATTCTTCCTCCCCAGGGGGTGTACTCTGGGTGGAAACAGCATTACCCATGAACTCCACATTCCCCAGGTGGAGAATGGCGGCCAGCAGCTTGCTGAGGTCCCAGTTCTCGGAGTCGGAGAACATGAGGATCTTCATGGCTGAGCGGACGTGGGCATAGTCCTTGGCGTCATTGAGCCCCTCACAGGAGGTACAGTTCCCCTGCAAGATAGGGCCCATCAGGTTTCTGAGGCCACCCCACACCCTACCTCCTCCACTGTAGGGCCAGCAAGGCAGGGGTGCATCAGGGATTCAGCCAAAGGGCCCTGGTAAGTGATCCTGCACTGGCTCTGGGTGGATCCCAAGGGGCCACCTGGAGGCCCAAGCTCAAAAAACACGCAGAAGGGCTTCCCTGGTGACGCAGTGGTTAGGAATCCACCTGCCAATGCAGGGGGACATGGGTTCGCGCCCTGGTCGGGGAAGATCCCACGTGCTGCAGAGCAGCTAAGCCCGTGTGCCACAACTACCGAGCTTGCGTGCCACAACTACTGAAGCCCGCGCGTCTAGAGCCCGTGCTCTGCAACAAGAGAAGCCACCACAATGAGAAGCCCGTGCACCGCAATGAAGAGTAGCCCCCGCTCGCCACAACTAGAGAAAGCCCGTGCACAGCAACAAAGACCCAAATCAGCCAAAAATAAATAAATACTTAAATATTTAAAAAAAAGAAAATACACAGAGGCGGAACGGTGGTGACACAGACGCAGCGTGCTATGGTAGCCTGACAGTTGTGTGGCCACGGCCAAGTCATTAGGCTTCTCTGAGCCTCTATTTGTCAGCCATCCGTGGTAACGCCTGCCTCACCCTCTGGTGGTGGTGGTGGGGGGCGGGAACATCACGGGTTCGTTCCTTTAACAAACACCTTCCAAGGCTCACTGTGTGCCAGCCCCTGGGCTATTTGTTGGGAATTCAGGAATGGAGAGACCAGGCCCTGCCCTGGGTGCTCTTGCACCCAGGAGGGGAGGCACAAAGAGAATGGCGGGGTCATAGGCTGTTACAGGCGCTGAGACCAAGGGGGCTGGGCCGGCCTCCTGGGAGCAGGGGAAAGGCTTCCTGGAGGAGGCATCTGAGCGGTCCCTCAGGTTGAGCTGCGCAGCAGCACAGGGGAGAAACGGCCAGAGCTGGGCAGTGAGGTGGGAGGCACGGGTGGAAACTGCAAGGAGCCTGGCGTTGCCGTTGAGGGGGAGAGGTTGGTGGATGGTGGGATCTGGAGGGACTTGGAAACCTTGCCGAGGAGACACAAGGAGCCCCTGAAGAGCTGTAATGAGAGACGTGGTCTGTCAGACTTGCTCTGTGGGAGGTCTCGGGCTGGATGATAGATTGGGGTCAAGTCTGGAGAGAGGGGGGACCCAGGAGGAAGCTAGCACCATGGTCTAGGCAAGAGATGATGAAGGCCTCCAGGCAGAGACCCAGGAGAGAGGGCTTAGTCAGGACACAGGGTCAAGACGTGGGTTTCATTCATTCCCTCAGCAGCAAGGTGAGCCTGATGGCTGCTTGTGCTACACTGTTCGTGCATGGGGATGCAGCGAGCAAGGCCCCTGCTCTCCTGGAGCTCAAGTTCTAACGGCACCTACGAGGACGGTGAGTGGAATGAAACGAGGGTTTCAGAGCCTTCTGTCCATAGGGACCAAAGAAAGTTGAGGCTTGTGGGGCGGGACCATGGGTTCAGTAGGAAACAAGGAAGCACACGGACAAGGGTAAGCCTCTGATGGCCGTAAAGTGGATGCCAAACACAGGAGGGCTGGAGTGGAGAATGGAAAAGGGGAGTCCTCAGTCCCTGCCCAGGGGCCCGACCACAGTTTGGGCTTTTATGAGGCTGTAAACCAAGCGTTGAGCAGGAGGCGGCCCTTCTTCCATCTTCCTCACTGTTATTGAGAGGCAGGGTGGGGAGAGGAAGGGAAGGGAGAGGCGGGAGGGGAGAGGAGAGGCAGGGAGAAGAGGGGAGGGGAGAGGAGGGAAGGAGTAGGAAGGGGAGGGGGGAAGGGGAAGGGAGAGGAGGGGCAGGGAGAGGAGGGAAAGGGTAGGAAGGGGAGGGGGGAAGGGGAAGGGAGAGGCAGGGCAGGGCGGGGGCAGGGTGGGAAGGGGAGGGGGGAGGAGGGAAGGCGCAGGGCGGGCCTCACCATGGTCAGGTAGTGGTACTCGGAGGGCGCGCCCAGGCACAGCAGGTCCTTCTCCTCTGCGCTCATGCCCATGAGCATGCCGTAGAAGATGTGGTAGTTCCGCTCCTCCGGGGCCTGGTGGGGAGGGAGTTCCAGGGAGCTTGTAAGCATCACGCCTGAGGCTACGGGGCCTCAGGACTGTCTCCTGCCCCCACCCCTGTCCCAGCTTCCTTCTTCCTCAGCAGGTAGCGCTCCGGCATTGACCTGAGGGATGGCCATGCCTGGTCGCTGTCCTCCTCCAAGGCCAGCTCATCCTGACTGTTCTGCGTGGAAAGGCCACCTTGCCCTTGGAACTCGTCACTCCCCGGGGCTTCCCTGCATCCTGACCGCTCCTTGCAGCCCGGAGTCACAGGTGAGGCAGCGAGTCCAGATTCAGACCCGGGCCCTCTGACTCAGAACCCCGGACTCTTTACAGTCTACGGTGAAGCCTTCCTATTCACCTTGTGACCCCCAGGACCTGGCATCCACAGGTTTACCTAGCTGGGCCTCTGCATTTTTAAACATTATTATTATTATTATTATTTTTGCGGTACGCGTTCCTCTCACTGCTGTGGCCTCTCCCGTTGCGGAGCACAGGCTCCGGACGCGCAGGCTCAGCGGCCATGGCTCACGGGCCCAGCCGCTCCGTGGCAGGTGGGATCTTCCCGGACTGGGGCACGAACCCGTGTCCCCTGCATCGGCAGACGGACTCTCAACCACTGTGCCACCAGGGAAGCCCTAAACATTATTTTTAAACTTTATTTCACATCCCCGTTGTGAAATTCCAAGTATAGAGTGTTAAAGGGTGAGTTTCTTTCTGCCCCAACTTGCCACTCCTCAAATGACCTCCTCAGAACAGTTTGATGGTCTGTGTTCCTTTGCAGACATCACTAATGTATTTACTTAGAGTATATCTATAAAAAGTTTATTTTTTAGGCAAGAACATACTTGTTGTTCTTCAGCTTCCTCTTTTTTTCATCTAAACGGGTCTCTTAGCCGTCTGTCTACCCTGACACAGACACACCCCCTCAGCCTTTGAACTGACCCAGCATTCCACAGTACAGAGATGCCAAAATTTTTTAATCTTCTCATGGACAGGACTTGTCTCTGATCTGCTTTGGAAGTCTCCTGTCCATTCTGGGGTACCTCTCTGAGGAACGAATTCTCTGAATTCACCAACCACCGTGCGAAGAATTACAGGCTTCTGGAAAGGGCAGAAGTTCTGTGACTAGTTCACTAGTTCTGTGACCCTGGGTAAGTTACTTAACTTACCTGGACTCAGTTTCTTCATCTCTACAATGGGGAGAAAGAGACCCGTCTCTCATGGTTGTTGTGAAGGTCTAATGAGATTATGCAGGGGAAACACCTGGCACCAGGTGGGGGTCACTAAAGGTGAGCTTCCTTCTTCAGCTTGCCCAGGTGTCTGTCTGTCCTAACACACAGTGCCAGTCCCTTTAGTGGCATATCCCCAATCTGAAACATCGTGTGTGTGTGGTACGTGTGCGCTCATGCACACACGTGTTAGGGGTTATACCATCATATGAGAGAGCACCTTACCCCCAACAAAGCCGTGTTAACTCAGCCGATGTGGCTGCCACACTTTGGGTTCCTTGTTACCCAGGACTGTCTCCTTGACTTGTGGGGCGCAGTGCGAAATGAAAGCATGGGGCTTCTTGCTAAAGAGTTATTAAGAATTTCAAGATGGCAACGACAGAGCATCAAACCGAGACCGGGCCCCTGCGAGTACAAGGCCCTGTGTTGACGACACAGACCGCGTGCCACCTCATTTCCTGCAGGTGGTCTTTTGGACAGTGTCATCTAGGTCCTCCTGCCAGGGGCCCCAGCACACCTGATGATACATCCACCCCCAGATGGGGACTGGCCTGGCCTCAGAATTAATTCTAGTAGAGGTGAAGAGTAGTAAGCACCAAAGGATGAGGCCAACTCTACAGATGGAAAATTCGAAAGAGAAAATCCTTGAATAAATCATTTCCTTGAATATTGGGGAAGGACCATCATTATCCAATTCTAAGGGTCCTGGGCCCATCTCGGACCAGGGTTCAATGACAGCAAGCTAAGGCCTATGGGAGTCTGGGGCGGAGGAAAGGAGGGGTGAGAGTGATGGAAGGGACCCCTCTTGGAAGCCTCCCCGATCCCCTGACTCCCATCCTGGGGTGGGAGGAGGTTCCCCCAGGACCAGTGCGGCAGGCGGAGGCCTTACCTGCCGGCAGACCCGGGATTTCTCCAGGAGAAATTGCTCGATGCACGCCCCCTCAATCACCCCACTGGAGTTGAAGTAGATGTCGATGTACTTCCCAAAGCGGCTTGAGTTGTCGTTTCGGATCGTCTTGGCATTTCCGAAGGCTGAGGGCCGACGGATGATGCCCATGACGGGAGCAGAGAAGAGAAAATTTACTTTTACTGGGATCCTCTGGGAAGGCTTCTCAGAGGAGGTGGCCAAGCCCAGACTCGAAGGATGGGTAGGATTACACCGGACAGCGGCGGCAGCCGAGGGTTCGCTAAGAGGAAGGCAAAGTGCAGCTAAAGGTTCGGAGGTCAGAAAGCATGGGGTGTGCTTCCAGGGAGGGAAATTCGGCTGGACCATAGGATACAGGAGGAAAGCAGTGGAAGATGGATGGAACCGTTAGCAGGCGGAGCCAAGTAGCGCAGAGCCTTGAATGCCAAGCTAAGAAGGGTGGCATTAGTCCCACAGGTGACGGGGGAAGGGGGAAACCTTCTGAGGGAGTGTGGAGGCTGATTTACATTTTAGAAAGATTGCTCAGGCTGTAGGGTGGAGGCTGGGTTAGAGAGGGCAAGCTCGCAGAGAGAGTGGCAAGAGCTGGCACGGGTCAGAGCGCAGATAAGGAGCTTAGGCCAGATGGCATTTGGGCTGCAGCACGATCCAAAGTACATCCCATAGAGCTGTTTCTGCAGGGTTTTATGATGTGACTGCATTAAGAGAGATCCTTTGCACACACATCCTCTCCTGCACACATAATTGAAAAGAACAGAGGATCTGTCTACTCTTATCCGTAGAATGCATTTGGGATCCTTCCATGTATCAATAATCCATTCCCAGCATTTTGCAAATTGATTTCATCTTGGAGCCCTTTGTATTTTATTTTTTAGTTTTTGGCTGCATTGCGCGACATGTGGGATCTTAGTTCCCTGACCAGGGATCGAACCCGCTTCCCCTGCAGTACGAGCACAGAGTCCTAACCACTGGACAGCCAGGGAAGTCCCTTGGAGCCCTTTTTAAATCCTGAGAAGTTGCTAAAAGAGTACGGCTTATCCTGCCCTTCCCCACAGGCACCCCCTGGCAGGAAGGTGCCAGCCCACAGGTCCTGGAAAGGAGGCTGGTCCCGTGGGTGACTGCATACCTTCCAGGATGGGGTTGGCCTCCAGGACCTGCTGCTCAATCCACGAATGCTGGCTGCTGATGGTGGCCAGGAACTGCAGAATGAGCTTGGTGGTCTCTGTTTTCCCTGCTCCAGACTCGCCACTGCAAAGAGGGCATGCAGGAACGTCAGTCAGTAGAACAACTAGTTTTCAACACCTGTCAGACCCATCACATGACCGCTTTCTGGGCCGGTCTGAACAAGGATGCTCTCTCCCTGTGCAGAAATCCCACTGCGTTCTCCCTGACGTCCCCTGCCTACTCTGTGTTAGTTTATTAGTGTGTTCATCTTTCCTGCTCGACTATGCAGGTATGGTTGTATGTGGTTCATTCCAGGGTCCCTGGCACAGTGTTCAGTAACTCCATGAATGAATAAGACCAGGTGATGCGATGCCCTGATAATAACGTTCTCTCTGTGAGCGGTGAGCTCATGCTGGCCAGAGGGGGAACTGCATGAGCCTTTTGGGAAAGCAGTCTGGCATAGGTATCAAAACGCTTCAGAATTATTCCGCCATCAGTCTAAGGAAAGACTCCTAAAATGAGAAAAAGCCTTCTCCACAAAGCTTCCTGCTCATTGAAGTGTTATTTATTTATCATTGCGATTACATGGGAAGCAACAAAAATGGGGGAAATTAGTTACAGTCCATCCAGTCAGAGAACATTGTGCAACCACTTAATCCAGGTCTGCACAGAGCCTGCAGTCACACGAGCAACGCTTACTAGTTAAGTGAAGCGGTAAATGTAGGCAGTATTCAGTCACATTTTAACCAAGTGGGTAGAGGAAGCTTTTTCTTCCAAAAATGTCTGGCAATATTTTTGCTGAGAATATTTTTCTGAAATTTTCTAAAATTTTCATAGTGAATATATATTAATTTCATAATGGTAAAATATGAAAGCCAGTTTTTTTCATATTTTAGGGCAGTGCAGTGGTCAAGAGAGTGCTAGAGAAGGACCTTGAGGACCCTGAGCTTGCCTCCTGCCATGAGCCCCCCAAAATTACAACTGTTTATTTGTTTAAAAGATTTATTCATTATTTATTTATTTTATTTTTGGCTGTGTTGGGTCTTAGCTGCGGCACGCGGGATCTTCATTGAGGCATGTGGGATCTTTCTTTGTGGCTCACGGGCTTCTCTAGTTGTGGTGGGCAGATTTTCTCTCTCTAGTTGTGGTGCTTGAGCTCCAGGGCGCGTGGGCTCTGTAGTGTGTGGCACACAGCCTCTCTAGTGGAGGCGCGTGAACTCAGTAGTTGTGGCGCGCGGGCTTAGTTGCTCCGCGGCATGTGGGATCTTAGTTCCCTGACCAGGGATCGAACCCACGTCCCCTGCATTGTAAGGTGGATTCTTTACCACTGGACCACCAGGGAAGTCCCCCCAAATTACAACTATTTACAGAGAAATTATTGATGATAAAAACTGGACGACTAGAGGAAAAGAAATTCTTTAACTAAATACATAAAGAAGGAATCACAGCACAGGGAACTGGACTCAATATTCTGTGATAACCTACATGAGAAAAGAATCTGAAAAAGAATGTATATATGTGTATGTATAACTAAATCACTTTGCTGTACACCTGAAACTAACACAACATTGTAAATCAACTCTAATAAAATTAAAAAGACAAAAACCCCAAAACAACAACAACAACAAAACAAAACAAACAAAAATATTTGCTTAATTGTCTTGGGACTAAATGTTAAATGGCATTATGTTTAAAGAATAAAATACATTTAGTTCACAGTTAAATTATATCAACTCAAAAACAAAAAAACAACTAAACCAACAACAACAAAGAAGGAACCGCAATGAGATGGTAGGAGGGGCAGAGATGCAGTACAGTCAAGACCCATACCCCCGGGTAGGTGACCCACGAGTGGAAGAATAATTACAATTATAGAGGTTCTCCCCAAGGAGAGAGGGGTCTGAGCCCCGCACTGGGCTCCTGAACCAGGAAGACAAACCCTCACGATGTTTGCCTTTGAAGGCCCATGGGACCTACTTTAAGAAGAGCCAGAGAGCTGTGGGGGATAGAGACTCCACTCCTGAAGGGCACACACAAAACCTCACACTGCTTGCCTGGGGCAGAAGCAGTGATTTGAAAGGAGCCTGGGTCAGACCTGCTGATCTCGGAGAGTCTCCTGAAGGCAAGGGGTAACTGCAGCTCCCCCTGGGGACACGGACACTGGTGGCAGCCGTTTGGGGAGCTTGTTGAGCAAGTGGACACTGGGGCTGGGGGGTGCCATTGTGGAATCCTCCCTCGAGCTCTTTAGTGCCAAGACGTCAACAGCCTGTTGCTGCCAGTGCTGGGACATCTCAGGCCAAGCAACTGCTAGGTGGGGACACAGCCCCACCCACCAGCAGGAGGCTGCCTTAAGACCCCCCAGACAGCTGCCCTAGGACCTGGCTCTGTCCACCAGAGGACCTGGAACCCAGCCTCACCCACCAGTGAGCCGGCACTAACCTCAGGACCCCTGGGACCAGCCCACACCCACCAACAGGCCAACACCAACCTTGGAAATCCCCGGGCCCTGCCTACCAGCAGGTTGACACCAACTCTGAGACACCTTGGGAACCCAGTTCTGTCCACAGTGAGCCAGCAGTAGCCCCAGGACACCCTGAGATCCAGCCCCCCTCACCAACAGGCAGAAGCCAGGTTTGGGACACCCCAGACCCTGCAGCTAGCCATGGCGGGAACTGGCCCCACCCATCAGCTAGATACACTAGAAGGAACAGCAGTAGATCAGATGATACAGAGACATGGATCAGGAAGCTGGAAGACAGAGTAGTGGAAATCACTGATGCTCAACAGGAAAAAGAATGAAAAGAAATGAGGGCAGTTTAATCTGGGACCACATCAAGCATATTAACGTTCACATTACAAGGGTCCCAGAAGGGGAAGAGAGAAAGGGGCAGAAAACATATTTGAAGGCATGATAGCTGAAAATTTCCCTCATCTGGGAAAGGAAACACACATCCAGGTCCAAGAAGCACTGAGAGACCCAAGCAGGATCAACCAGTGAGGGCCACACCAAGACACATTGTCATTAAAATGATAATGGGATGAGAAGATATTAAAAGCAGCAAGGGAAAAGCAACAAGTAACATACAAGGGAACTCCCATACGGCTGTCAGCTGACTTTCCAGCAGAAACTCTGCAGGCCAGAGGGGGTGGCACAGTATATTTGAAGTGAGGAAAGGGAAGACATACAACCAAGAATGCTCTACCCAGCAAGGCTCTCATTCAGATCTGACGGAGAGATCAAAAGCTTTACAGACAAGCAAAAGCTGAAGGAATTCTGCACCACCAAACCAGCTTTACAAAAAACGTTAAAGGGAGTTCTCTAAGCAAAAAAGAAAAGGCCACTACTAGACACATGAAAATTATGACAGGAAGAAAGCTCATGGTTAGAGGTAAATATAGAGTAAAGGTAGTAAGTCAACCACATACAAAGCTAGTAGGAGGGTTAAAAGACAAGAGGAGTTAAATCCACAATAAGCAGTCAAGGGATACACAAAACAAAAGGATATAAAATATGATGTGGAAAATAGTAAATGGGCGGGGGTAGTAAAAATGCAGTGTTATTAAAATATGTTTTAGCTTATGAGATCAGCAACTTAAAATAATCATGTATATATGTATGATTATGTATGATATATCATGTATACGTATGATTATATACATGATTATAGGTATGATATATGACATACATATCTACATAGCAATATATAAACCTCACAGAAACCACAAACCAAAAATCTATAATAGAGACACACAGAGAAAGATAAAGGAATCCAAACATAACGCTAAAGGTAGTCCTCCAATCACAAGGGAAGAGAACAAAAGAAGAAGAAAGGAACAGAAAGAACTACAAAACAACCCGAAGACGATTAGCAAAATGACAATAAGGACATACCTATTAACAATTACTTTAAATGTAAAGGGACTAAATGATATATATACGATGGAATATTACTCAGCCATAAAAAAGAATGAAATCTTGCCATTTGCTACAACATGAATGGACCTAGAGGGTATTATGCTAAGTGAAATAAGTCAGAGAAAGACAAATACTGTATGATTTCCGGTGGAATCTAAAAAACACAACAAATGAACAAACAGAACAAAACATCAACAAAGTTATAGATACAGAGGACAAGCAGGTGGTTGCCTGAGGGTCAGGGGTGGGGGGAGGAAAGACATAGGTGAGAGAGATTAAGAGGTACAGACTTCCAGTCACAAAATAAATGAGTCACGGATATGAAATGCAACTCCTGACCAGTTTTGTTTCCCTTCCTGTACTGTTTTGAAGCAAACCTCAGACAAATACGGTTTACTCTGAAAATATTAATTTTTAAAAAAAGTTTTGATCCAAATGTCCCCGATCACTATGCCAGGGGAGCCAGTCAGGAGAACACCCCTGCATGTAGAGATGACTCCGAAGGAAGAGGGCTCAGGTGCCTCTCTCGCGCCCCGGGGAGGCAGTTGGACTCAAGAGATACTCATGCAAACAGCCACCCGGGTGCTCTGTGCTTTTCTACAGGCGCTGCTGTCCTGGCGGTGAGGCTTCCTGGCAAGACATCGCTCTGTCTTCTTTTCCCAGAGCCCTGGGTTTAAATTCCCTGTTTAACAGCTGTGCGTCTCTAGAAAAGAATGTCAACCGGTGGGAGGTTTCCCCAGCAGTAAAACAGGAATAGGAGTATCTACTACAGAGAGTTGCTGACAGCGTGAAACATGATAACCTAAGCTGTAGGACTTCGTTCCAGTCTCTGTTCCAAGGTCCCCTCCTCAGAGAGGCCAGCCCGATCTGCCCTTTTACCTAAAGCAGCGGCCCCATCACTCTTTCTCCTCTTTCCCTGCAGTGTTTTCCTTCAAAGTTCTTATTACCTGCTGAAACAATTAGCTTGCTTATTGCCTGTCTCCTCTTCTAGAATGTAAGGTCCACAAGGCAGAGATTTTAGTCCCTTTCCTTTGCTGCTGTCTCCTCATGTTAGGACAGGATAGGAGACAGAATTGGAGCACAAAAGAACCTCGAATGAATGAATGAATGAGTGAATGAATGGGTGAATGGATGGATGAGTGGATGAATGAACAAATGCATGAGTGACTGAGTGAATGGATGACTCTACTAGAGAACTAAGCAAGGTGTCCTGGAGCCAAATTCCCTCTCCCCGCTTTCTTTCCCGCTCTGCCTCCCTTCCATGGGTACCAGGAGGGCAGAAGGCAGAGAAGCCAGGCCAGGCCCGAGTCTCTGAAGCAGCAGCATCACCTGGACTGGAGAGGGACACATCCCTTCTGGGCCCAAGTACCTGAGATCTGTCCTCCCTGAGACTTGCCCTGAGGGTTTTTTTTTTTTTAAGATTTTTTGATGTGAACCATTTTTAAAGTCCTTCTTGAACTTTCTACAATATTGCTTCTGTGTAATGTTTTGTTTTTTTGGCCCTGAGGCATGTGGGATCTTAGCTTCCAAACCAGGGATCGAACCCATGTCCCCTGCATTGGAAGGCGAAGTCCTAACCACTGGACTGCCAGGGAAGTCTCCCTGAGGTTGTTTTTGAGGGGCCTCACCTGTTGGATCCTTGCACCCCAAGTGCCTATCTTGGGTCCCATTTGTAAACCAACCCATCCCCACCCTTCCTTCCTTGTCTCAGGAAATATTCACAGAAGGCTGGGGCGGTCCAGGCCCTGATGATACAGTGGAAGAGCAGGTTCTGACGGAAGGCAGCCTCAGAAGGACTTTGTGGCCGTGAAGGGGGGTGTTTGCAGTTGAACGGGAGGCCCTAAGTCACACACTACTTGGGAGAGGTTTTGGGAGAGGAGATGCGCCCTCCTTTATGAGATGCTCGGAGGCAGTGTCTGGCCCACCTGCCCGCCCAGGACCTCACCTGATAATGCAGCACTGGTCCATCTTGTGCTGCTTCATGTTGAAGTAGCAGTTGTTTGCGATGGCAAAGATGTGCGGTGGCAGCTCGCCCACGTGGCGCTTGTAGTACAGCTGCACCTGCTCCACGGTGTAGAGGGGCAGCGCCTGGTACGGGTTCACGGCCACAAGGATGGAGCCTGTGTACGTCTGGGGAAGGGAGAAGGTGGTTAGTAACCCCTACTCTGAGGATCAGCGCTGCCTGGCCCTGATCTTGGCCTTGGATGCCACCCCCCGAGGGCCACCAGGGCTGGCTGACTGTGGCGGGGAGGCGGGGTCTGATTCTGGACCGAGAGACGAGACCCTCAGCAGCTCAGATCCTTCACCAGGAAAGAGAGCTCCCAGGCAGGGGTGCATTCACAGGGGCGTTAAATGAGGGGGTCGTGCTTAATGTTTGGCGCTGTGTCTGGTATTCAGAAGAGGCTTGATAAAAATGGACTGAATGGGGCTTCTCTGGTGGCACAGTGGTTGAGAGTCCGCCTGCCGATGCAGGGGACACGGTTCGTGCCCCGGTCCAGGAAGATCCCACATGCCGCGGAGCGGCTGCACCCGTGAACCATGGCCGCTGAGCCTGCGCGTCCGGAGCCTGTGCTCCGGACGGGAGAGGCCACAACAGTGAGAGGCCTGCGTACCGCAAAAAAAAAGCAGTGGTTAAGAATCTGCCTGCCAATGCAGGGGACACGGGTTCGATCCCTGGTCTGGGAAGATCCCACATGCCACGGAGCAAGTAAGCCTGTGTACCACAAATACTGAGCCCAGCGTACTGCAACTCCTGAAGCCCGTGCGCCTAGAGCCCGTGCTCTGCAACAAGAGAAGCCACCGCAATGAGAAGCCTGCGCACCGCAATGAAGAGTAGCCCTGGCTCGCTGCAGGTAGAGAAAGCCCACATGCAGCAACGAAGACCCAGCGCAGCCAAAAAAAAAAAAAAATGGAGTGATTGTATGAAGCAAGTCTTCACCTGCCTTTCACAGGGGCCTCCGTGAGGCTGGGCCACCACAGTAGCCCTCCTGGACCCCTCCTGGACCCTCCCACTCATCTGGAGCCTCCACTGGGCCTGCCTGCCCCTCTGGGTTGGGACGGGGACGGCCACCTCAACAGTCATGTTTTCATGACTTGTCATGAAGTCGTGTCTTCGTTTTCATTTTAGGAAGGGAGAGGATAATCTCTCTGGCTCAGGACTATGACAACCACCAGATAAAAGAATGCAAGCATAAGCTCTTTGGAAAAGTTAAGCTGCAGTTCAACTTGGATAATCGCTGGTTTTGGTCCCAGCAGCTGAGGTTCACTCATCCAAAGTGGACTCAGAGTGCCCCATCCCCATCTCCTTCCCGAGGGTCTCCTCCTTCTCCTCTCCCAGCCCAGCCCTCTATTCGGGGGCCCCTGCTCACTCTTCCACTCCTCTGAGCATCCCAGCATCAGGGCTGGTCAGAGGTCGATGAGCCACCTCCCTCTGAGAAGCCCAGGCAGGTGGTGACTTCCCCGGGTCACACCCACTCACGGCAGGGCTGGTGTCAGTGTTGGAATACCACCTCCCCTGGGAGGTCTGCATTAGAACAGGGATGAGACCCTCCCATCCACCGCTAGGCTTTGGGAGAAGGACCCGCATTTACCTACGCGGCCCTCCTGGTCATCACGCAACTTACTTCATAGGAGGGCAGAGGTCTTCTGCCTGGTGACCCTGTCTCTGCCACGTACCTAGGAAGGAACCAGGCAGAAGACTACGTCCCATGGCCTTCGGTCCACTCGGCCATCAGAGCAGGCCTTCTGCTCAGCCACAGAGGAGCGAAGAGGCAGCAGTAACTGAGTGCCTCCTATGTGCCAGGTACTGAGCTGGCATGCTGCATGTCAGCTTTCTGTACGCTCGAAGGCTTTACCCCCCTGCTTCTTTCAGACTGGGGAGCAGAGATCGTTGAGCATCCTCATGCTATGAGGGCGTGGGGAGTAGGGACTGAGCCAGGTGTGCCCGGGGCATAGTTTGCTTCCCCAGCCGAGTCAGCACGTGTGGCCCCAGCACACCAGGGGGTCCCATGTGGCCAGGAGGGACTCACGTAGATCTTGTGCTGCCGGTAGCGGATCAGGAGGTTGTGCACCATGCCCGCCTCGTTCAGATCCCCCAGGAGGATCATGTCATCCACGCCCTGAGCAGAGTTGGGGTGCATGGGGCTGAGAGTGCCAAGGTCCTCTGCTCGGATCCAGTGTTCCTGGAACAAAGGGCACAGGCTTTCCTGAGCGGGGGTTGTCCTGGGCCAACCTGTCCCCCACGTCCTCCATGGATCAGACGATCTAGTGGCCGGCACCTGGCCGGCTTTGGTCTGTGGTGAAGGTCAAGGGATCGGCTCAATCCGAGGCTGGAGTCAGCACACGTCTAGGGCCGAGGGTCAGTGTGCACTGAGGGTCAGTGATTGGGATCAGGGGCCGTTTGCAGCTGGGGAGCCTCACAGATGGTTGGAATAAAAGAGTGCAAGTGAAAGTGTTCTTTAAATGGCATGACGTCATTTTGCAAATAGAAGGTATTATTGTTAACATTTGACTGGCTTCCAATCTGTGGGGCTCACAGCTCACAGTCTAGAATTTTCTCCTTGGAGGCCGAGTCTCCACATGCTTCATTTGAAGCGCCTCAGCAAAGAGGGTTGCCCAAGGAGGACTTAAATGACCAGCTGGACCCCTCACTCTGCATGCCCTTCTCCACTGTCGCTCCCCTGCTGCTCCCCAGCCCCCCAGGGGACGGAGCTCGCTTCCCAGCAGGTCACCCTGAGCTTCCTACTCTCTCTTCTGGGCTGTTTTGCTCAGCGTGAGCTGGGCTTCCTCCATCTCCTCACATTCCAGGGCCTCCCCTCCAGGCATCCTTCTCACCTTTCTCTCCCTCCTCCTGTCCTTCCTGCTCAGCTTCCTTTACTTTGCAAACAGTCTTCCTGCCCTCCCCCTCTCTCTGTCACAGCCCGTTTCCCACTTCACGCTTTCCTGGTCCCCTAATTGTCCATCTGCCAACACACTCCCTGCTTCTTCACTATAGGAGCAGTTCCCAAGACAGACACACAATGTTCACCACGACGGGACTTCCCTGTAGTCTGTCCTGCCACATGGGTCCCTGACTTGGGCTCTGGAATCCCTGGTGCTGGGCGCAGCACCAGAGAAGGGAGGGGGCTCGGGGCCCAGGAGGGGTGGGGGGATGGGGCTGAGAAGGCTGAGCCCCTCAGGAGAGCGAGGCCATACTGACCTTGTAGTCATCATCTTCAACCAAGATCTTGCCAGGCTTTGTCTCTTTGATGACGCCCCCGATGGGCACGCTGGTCTTGTCAGCAGAGGTGAAGTTCAGCCACACGTGGTCACCCTGGAGAGCAGAGAGGAGTCGGTGGTCAGACGCTTGATCCACCTTCCCCTTCCTGCTCAAGACTTACCTCCCCCGGGGGGTGTCCCTTCCAACCAAGAGATCCCACGGTGGCTGAGGCATGCTCTCTCCCCCTTCCCCTCCTCCTCCTTTTTCTTTTTCTTCTTCCCTCTCTCCTACCCTGCTCCCAGCCCTTTCTCTCTCTTGCCAGGAAGTTAATGGGAGGTGGCAGGGGAAGCTTCCCTGGCCCAGCTTTTTGCAGGAAAGTATCTCTCTGTGAGGTGCAAAAAGAGAGTCTTTGCCCTGCGAATAGCCCTGTAGCACCCAAACCCGTTGGCTGGGGAAAGACAAAGACTAAAATCTCACTAGGTTTGTGCCTGGCCTGCAGCATGGCATTGACCCACATGAACCTCTTTCTAATCCAGGAAAGTTCACGCTGCTCAAAGAGGAGGAATCCCAAAGGAACAAGCAGAGACCCACATGCAAATATACTGACATTCAAAAGGAGGAAATGAGCAGGTGAATAACACTCACCAGGGGGAAACGAACTGCTACAGAGCAGTGGAAAGTTGTGACCAAGTATCTTACCATGATTTCCAAAAAACTTATTGAGGTGTAGAGCTGAGGCACGAGAGCTCAGAAATTAGACGCCGAGACAACTGAAAAGGATGGGACGTGAACTGGCAGAGCTCAAGAAAGAAAGGGAGGAAAAGAAGTAAACATGGGCCGGAGATGAAAGCAAAACTGGAAGCAGCAACAGGGGAATAAGCACTTGCTAAAATCGTAGTAAAGATCATAGAAGACAGGAGGAGACAAGTGAGCAAAATGACAGAGAAAATTTCAAAGTTAGGATTAGGAAAAAAAGGATAGATATGGAAGGCGGACAAAAATACTAATAATTGAAGTGCACAAAGAAGAAAATCGGGGGAAAACCCAGAAAAATTACTTAAATATAAAATTCAAGACAACTCTCAAGAAATTAATGAAGCCTTGAATCTATGGATTGAAGACACACCATTATTTCTTTGAAATAATGACAAAGAAAAATCAACGCTAGGACATAAAGGTATTGGACTAAAAAATTAAGAAATAATTTTTTGAGGGGTAGGCAGACAAAAAGACAAGTTCACTTATAAGGAGATAATTCAGGACAAATTCAAATCATATACGAGGGCCGAACATCTCCTACAAAGATCTCAGGAAGAGAGCAATACAGCTGTTAGGATGGCCATTATAAAAAAGTACAGAAAACAACAAGTGTTATTGAGGATGTAGAGACATTGGAACCCTTGTACACTGTTGGTGGGAATGGAAAATGGTGCAGCCACTGGGGAAAACAGTATGAAGGTTCCTCAGTAAATTAAAAATAGAATTACCATATGATCCAGCAATCCCACTTCTGGGTAAATAGCCAAAGAAATTCAAAGCAGGATATCAAAGACATATTTGCATTCCCATGTTCATTGCAGTGTTATTCAAAATAGCCAAGCAGTAAAAGCAACCCAAATGTCCATTGGCAGATGAAAAAATAAACAAAAATGTAGTATATGCAGTCATCCCTAAAAGTACTTGGGGGATGGATTCCAGGAGCCCCTGCAGATACCAAAATCCATGGATACTCAAGTGCCTTATATAAAATGATATAGCACAATGAATACTACACACCATGGAATATTATGCAGCCTTAAAAAAGAAGGAAATCCTGTCATGTGCTACAGTGTGGATGGACCTCAAGGACTTAATGCTGAGCAAGAGAAGCCAGTCACAGAAGGACACATGCTGTATGATTCCACTCATGGAAAGTATCTAAAGTAGTCAAAATCATAGAAACAGAAAGTAGAAAGGTGGTTGTCAGGGGCTGGAGGAGGACGGAAGGAAAATAGTGTTTAATGAGTATAGAGTTTCAAGTGTGCAAGATGAAAATGTTCTCTGTTGCACAACAACGTGAATATACGTAACAATACTGAAATGTACACTTAAAAATGGTTAAGATGGTAAATTGAATGTTATATTTTTTACCACAATAAAAAAAAACAGAAAAAAAAATCCAATAATTTTTTTACCCAGCCAAATTGTCTTTCCAGTATAAAGATAACAAACATTATTGAAGATACAATATTTTCCCGTAAGCCTTTTGGAAAAAAACGATTAGGGGACAAACTTCAGTCAACAGTGCAAAGAATGAATATAGGTCCACACCAACACACACATCAAGAAATTTCAAAATACTTGCGACAAAGAAAACATCATAAAAGCTTTCAGAGAGAAAAATAAGTTTTATACAAAGGCTCAAGAATTAAAATGTTGTCCACCTTCTCCATAGCAAGGCTGGAAACCAGAAGGAGTACATGTCTTCACAGTTCTCAGGGAAAATTACATCTAGTATGGAATCCTATGCCCAGCTGACATTCAAATGTGAATAAACATATTTTCAGAATGCAAGTTGTTAAAAATACTTCATATGTACCCCTTCTCAGGAAGCTGTTACAGGTTGTGCTTGATCAAAACAAGGGAGTAAACCAAGAGAGAGAAGAACCTTGGGTCCAAGAAAAGGGATTCAGTGCAAAGGAGAGGTGAAGGAAATCTTCAGGGTGGTTGTGAAGGAGACCCCAGGACAATTCTGAGACGTGTGCCTCAGAAGTAGAAGATGCCGGTTTCGATATGTCCTCAGCAACGCTGGGAGAAACTTCTTCCTGAGGATGAAACTGATTGAACTCCCAGATGAATCATTTTGAAAGGACATTGACATATCTGGGAGAAAGCTGGGTGGCGGGGGCCAGGGGAAGGTTATGTCGTCATAAGTACAGAGAAAACAAAGCAGATAGGGCAGAAGGACAATTACAAAGTCTAGCAAAGGGAAGCACAGCACTTACAATACATTGCAGGGCTCAGTCGAGAGGAACGTTTTCTTTCTTTCTTTTTTTAAACTTTTTATTTTATATTGGAGTATAGCTGATTAACAATGTTGTGTTAGGGACTTCCCTGGTGGTACAGTGGTGAAGAATTCACCTTCCAATGCAGGGGACGTGGGTTCGATCCTTGGTCAGGGAACTAAGATCCCACATGCCATGGGGCAACTAACCCCGTATGCCATAACTACTGAGCTCTAGTGCCTCAACTAGAGTGCACATGCCACAAACTACAGAGCCCATGTGCCCTGGAACCCATGAGCCACAACTACAGAGCCCACGCACCCTGGAGCCTGTGCACCACAACTAGAGAAGAGAAAACCCACAGGCCACAATTAGAGAGAAGCCCACACACCACAACGAAGAGCCCACGTGCTACAAAGAAAGATCCTGCGTGCCTCAACGAAGACCCTGCGTGTCGCAACTAAGACCCGACGCAGCCAAAAATAAAAACAAAAACAACAACAAAAAAATAACGTGGTGTTAGTTTCAGGTGTACAGCAAAGTGATTCAGTTATGTATATACATGTATCTCTTCTTTTTCAAATTCTTTTCCCATTTAGGTTGTTATATAATATGGAGCAGAGTTCCCTGTGCTCTACAGTAGGTCCTGGTTGGTTATCTGTTTTAAATATAGCAGTATGTACATGTCAGTCCCAAACTCCCTAACTATCCTTCCCCACCCCTGTCACTTCCCCCCTGGTAACCGTAATTTCGTTTGAGAGGAACATTTTCTTAGATAAAACAGGTAAACTCTGTATGTAGATCTAATGAAAGCTAGGATTTAACAATTTCGGGAGGAAGGAGAGACAATATGAGTGCTGTGGGCGGGCGTTAGGGACAAGGAGCTAAGGCCCTTCTCACCTAGTGGGAAGTCAGTAATAGGTGCTGCCTGGAACTGAAAACTCAAACAGCCCTGTACACATGTCCTTTAGAGACACAGAGGGAAGTATCAATGAATCGACTAGAAGGTCGAGGTGGTCACCTCTCTGGAAGAGGAAGTGGGGGACTGATTCTTCAAACTGTGTGCCCAAAACAACTTAATAAAACTAAAAGCGAAATGAAAAAGAACAGTAAGGAACAGCTGCCACAGGATGCAGAAGACCAGCCTGAGAAACATACTAGATTCAGTGAACTAATTGAATCACATCAGGAACCTCAGAGACCTAGAAAAGCTTTCTTACAACAAGGATAAAATTCCAGTGTGAAAATTGCGGCATGCAGCTGAAACAGCGGGCAGATTACCAAAGAGAGAAGATTATCAGTCAAAGACAGATGATGGGAACTTCCCTCGTGGTCCAGTGGTAAAGAATTCACCTTCCAATGCTGGGGATACAGGTTTGATCCTTGGTCAGGGAACTAAGATCCCACATGCCGCGGGGCAGCTAAGCCCAAGTGCCACAACTACTGAGCTTGTGCACCTCAACTAGAGAGCCCACGTGCCGAAGACTACAGAGCCCACGTTCCCTGGAGCCTGTGTACCACAACTAGAGAAGAGAAAACCCGCACGCCACAACTAGAGAGAAGGCTGCATGCCACGGCGGAAGATCCCGCATGCCTCAACGAAGATCCCGCATGCGTCGAAGACCCGACGCAGCCAATAAATAAGTGAATACATAAATAAATAAATAAAAAGACAGATGATGGGTATCTCACAGTGAACTTGATGTTAACCAGAGATGAAAAAGAGAAAGACCATTTCCAGTCCACACTTAATGATAAGGTGTCAGGCCAACATGAGCTGGAAAGATAAACAAAAGAGCTAGAACATGACTTTTGTTCACTCCATTTGGCCAAAGCTCTCCTAGGAAATAAATGAGAAGCCGAGCGCAGAAAATAGAGCTGCTTCATGAACTCTATTGGAAGAAAAAGATGACGGTGCAGAAACAGCTGAATCAGGAGAAGAACGAGTGAGAAGAGATAAAGCAGACGCTATCAGCTGCAAAGAAAAGTCTATGTTGAGATTCAAGAAACAGAGGATGAATTACAGAAAGCAGAGATCTACGTGACCTTCCTTGTTCTTTGTGATAAGAAATACCTGACAACTGGCTGCTACCCATGATGCAGAAAGTTCCTTCCCCAGCCTGAGACAGAAATTACTACAAGGAAACTCAAAGACCCAAGGCCATGAAGAATCCACTTCCGGGAGACCTGATCCTCAGTCTTCTGAGGTGGGCTGGCTCTTCTGGACATTGGCTGAAATGGGCGCTGTGCCCTGATCCCATGTGCCCACCTGCCATGTCTTCTCTTCCCATAGAAAAGATGGGCCTAGAGATGCCTCTGTGCTGCCTTCACTTAGATAAATGAAGGATCCAACCAATGAGAAATACCCTGTCAAGACGTTTTTTTTCTGTTCTTTTATTTTTCATATTATTCTATTTTTTAAATTTTTATTGAAATATAGTTGATTTACAATGTTGTGTTAGTTTCAGGTGTATAGCAAAGTGATTCAGTTATACATATATATAAATTCTTTTTTTACATTCTCTTCCATTATAGGTATACAAGACACTGAGTATAGTTCCCTGTGCTATACAGTAGGTCCTTGTTGGTTACCTATTTTATATATTGTAGTGTGTTTTGTCAGGACATTTTAAGCCCTGAATATAAGTGAGGGATTACTGTGCAAGTGTGGTCCCGCTGCCAAAGCCCAAAGGTTGGCCAAGGTCATTTTCTTTAGGTAATACAATCTGTCTCTTTCCTCCAAACTCCCTGTCTCCGGTATTCTCCTTATAGGGTCTCATTGCCTCTCTTCTTCTTTCCTTGGGAGTGATTTGACTCAGCCTGTGGCAACTCCCACGAACAACCCCTCGATGGAAGAGATGCCATTCTTACCAGTCTCAAGCCCGACATCCTGAGGCGGCCACTCCTGACAACCTGTGTGCAGAGAGAAAGCAGAATGTCAGTCCTTGTGGCCCTGAGTTGGAGCCCTGGAGGGCAGGAGCCACGTGTGTTCATCAGCGTGGCTCTGAGCGCCTGGCATGGGGCCGAGAAATGACTCTTCAATGAATGGACGGATGAGTCATGGTCCCACCGCAAGTGTGAGAGGAGACGCCCTCAGCTTCATCCATTCTATCTCATCTTTACTGAACGTCTATTTTGCACTTGGCACTGGGCTCAACTGGGAGTGCGGTGGTTCTGAACATCCCTAGGACACCATCCCTGCCGTCCAGAAGCTCAAGCTGTGTCTGGTCAGACATCCGTGAATACCAGTCATCACCCTACACCACACGGAGTGCTGAGGGAAGCAGCCAGCAGAACTAGAGACACAACATACTTGATCTAAACCTCACGGACAGGGGCTTCCCCGGTGGCGCAGTGGTTAAGAATCCACCTGTCAATGAAGGGGACACGGATTCGAGCCCTGGTCCGGGAAGATCCCACATGCCGCGGAGCAATTGAGCCCGTGCACCACAACTACTAAGCCTGCACTCTAGAGCCTTCGAGCCACAGCTACTGAAGCCCGTGCACCTAGAGCCCGTGCTCCGCAACAAGAGAAGCCACCACGATGAGAAGCCGCGCACCGCAACGAAGAGTAGCTCCTGCTCGCCGCAGCTAGAGAAAGCCCGCGCACAGCAACAAAGACCCAACGCAGCCAAGAATAAATAAATAAACCTCATGGACACCCCCAAAACACAGATATCCCCCATTTCACTCATGGGACTCAACAAAGGAAAGGTGACCCGTTGATCAGTAGCACAGCTGGGGATTCTACCTGGACCTGCCTCCTTTCAAACCTGTCCGCAGCACCTGGCGGCCTCCCTGGTGCCCTGGGAGCACACAGGCAGGCCTGTGTAGCTGCCAGCAGGTGGCGGAGGGAGGGGAGGGAGGGGAGGGAGGGAGGGGAGGGCGGAGGCCCTGATCTCAAGGCGGAGCCCCACCCATCCCCAGCCTTGCCCCACTGAGCAGCGGGAGGCAGGTACTGGCTTTTTTGTTCATCATATGCTACCTGCTTCTAACACAGACTTGCTCCAAGGAGGGACCCAGGAAATAGTTGTTCAGTGAAACAGAGAACGAAGCCCTTGGAGAGGATGTCCTTTGACAATGGTTTTGCCAGATTTGTAAGAATTCACAGTGGAAGGAAAGAGGGGCCTTCTCGGGAGTTCCCTGGTCGCCTAGTGCTTAGGATTCAGGGCTTTCACTGTCGTGGCCCGGGTCCACTCCCTGGTCAGGGAACTGAGATCTTGCAAGCCGCGAGACCAAAATAAAAGGGAGGGGGGAGCGATTCTCTAGGGATGCTGCAACTTTAGCAAAGGCAGAGGGAAAAGTGCAAAGGATGTGAGGGGTCAGCACATTTGGGTTGAGCAGACCAAGCTGGGAGGTGTAGGTAGTGGGTGAATGTGACAGAGAAGCTTTGCCACTCTGTTCTGCTGGACAAAGAATTTTCTTATTCCAATTTTTCTTTCGTGTGTGAGCATTTATATGTTTATGGCAATCTACTCCTCCTAGCATTTGTTGAGTGCCTACAATGTAAAAGGCGGTAGTAATCAGATTGAGATTCCTTTTTAAGGGTCTGAGGCTACTGCTCTTTCAAGGGGAGGCTGGTCCATCTCTGCGCCTCACATACTGCAATGAGGTCGTGGGTGGGAAAGACGCAGAGGGCGTTGCCTGCCTCTCGCTCCCCACTGTGGCTCTGTCCCCTCACTTCTCCACCCCAGGTAGGAATCTGAGGCTCACCCACGTTCTTTAGCTCTGTCACCCTTTACCCCCTCACCCATGGCACTGACCTCCATGGACATAATCCCTCTCCAGACACCAGGATGTGTCCCATAGGTGCCCCCCACCAGTCCTGCCATCCCTGGGGGATGAACCTGCCAAGTGTTCTGGACTCCCACTCCTCTGGTCCCCAGACTCCACTGACCTCCACTCCCCCACGACTGGCCCTGGTCTTCCTGTGTCCCAGAACTTCTCCACTTCAGAAGCCATGTCCTCCAGCTGCCACCCTCCAGCCACACCCCAGGCCAGCACCAGGCCCTCCGCCCATGGCCAACTGTTCCCTCATTTCATCACGACCCCTCAGCCCTTGCTTTTCTCTCCATTCTATCAACCAGGCATCCGAGCTTCATTTCTATCCCAACCTGCCTGGAAACTGACTTACATCTTTTCTGGAACAAAGTGGTTTTATAAGTACCCATAAACGGAATACAAAAATAAAGTACAGTAAGCTGCACTCTATGTGGCCCCCTCTGGTCCACCCTTGTCTTGTGAATGTTGTTGACTCCTCCTTGTACCTTGCAAAGTCCCGGCACCAAGCTGAGCCCACCAAGGATGGGTCACATCATCTTGATGACAGGGGCCAGCGCCTCCCCTACGACCTTAGAAATGTTCAGGGCCACTTGAGTGGGTCCTGGTCAGCTCTTTCTGGAAAAAAAAAACCAACAACACTCTTATTTCAAATCTCCCTCCCACTACTCACTCTGCAGAACACCTTGATCTGTGTCATAAAAAAAGAGAGAAAAATCACCCTCAGCTTCCAGCTCTGCCCACTCCCTGCCTTTCCGTATATCTGAGAACATTTAAGGGACTGCCCAGGGGAAGGGGCCCCCTGACAGCCCCACACTAACCCTTCCAGCCCTGCCCTCTCTGGCCTCCTCCATCAGGGCTTTTGCTTTATCAATTACTCTGGTGGTTAAAATACTCCCACAAATTCTTTGACACTGCTCCCTTCCAAATACGGAGACTCATTCTCCCTACTGTGGATGTGGATTTAGTGACTCCCTTCTAACAACTAGAATGAGGTCGGAGTGATGGAGTATAGCTTCTGAGACTAGTCCATAAAAGGCTCTGTGTCCTCCTCCTTGCTCTGTCTGAGATCACTCGGCCTGGGGGAACTTGCTGCCGTGTCATGAGGATACTCAAGCAGCCCCAAGGAGGACCCATGTGGTGAGGAACTCAGATCTCCAGTCAACAGCCAGTGATCTTGAAAGCAGATCTTCCAGCCGTGGTCAAGGCTTCAGATGACCAGAGCTCCAGCCAACGTCTTGACTGCAACTTTGTTATGGGTTGAATTGTGAACCCCTCTCCAAGTTCATATGTTGAAAGTCCTAACCCTCAGTACCTCACAATGGAACTGTATTTGAAGATAAAGCCCTTTTGAAGAGGTGGTGAAGTTAAACTGAAGCTGTGAGGGTGGGACGTAATCCAACATGACTGATATCCTTTTAAGAAGAGGAAGAAATACCAGAGCTGTACATGCAGAGGGATGGTCATACGAGGACAAAGCAGCAAGAGGGTAACTGTCTGCAAGCCAAGGAGAGGGGCCTTGGGAAGAACCACCCCTGCCAACATCTTTGGTCTGAGACTTCCAGCTCCAGAAGCTGAATATAAATGAACCCTAGAAAATGAATATAAACCACATGAGTGTTCCTGGCCCAGAACCAGCCAGATAAGCTGTTCTTGGATTTCAGAAATTGGGTGAGGAAATAAATATTTGCCATTTTAAGCTGCAAAATCTTGGAGTAATTTGTTATGCAGCAGTAGATAACTAATACAATTACCCCTCCCTCTCACATCTTCCTTCTTTCTTGCTCTTCTGGTTTTCCTCCCTGTATAGAGATCCAAGTTTTGTCTATCTTAAAATGAATTTTCTTGGTCTCATGACCGCCTCCAGCTATTGCCCTCTTCTTGTTTCTATTCCACAGCTGAACTGCCTGAAAGAGTTGCCCCATGATGCTGCCTCCACTATCTCACCCTTCATGCCTTCCCAAGCCTTGGGTCACACACACGTACCCACAAACGCTGCAGCGACCCCTCCAGGGCTAACATTGCCCAAGTCCATGACAGGACTTTCTCAGCCATGTCCTGTTCCCTGAGCATGCCCCCTTGGCTTCTGCAGGACTACACTTCCCTGTCATTCCTTTGCTTTAGGGGGTCCCCTCAATCTCCTCCTAGGGCCCTTTCCCTCACCTTGATCTCTTGGTGTCTGAGGGAGATGCTGGTTGTTTTTGTCTGCCTGGTGTGCCGTCCCCTATTTTCTTTTGGGGGGAATTCTCCCTTTGTCCAAAATGTTTCTGATAGGAACCATGAATCATGGTACCTCAAAGATGGCATGCAATCCAAGAAAGGGCTTTCCCTGAGATGTTCTGAATTGAAGCTGGGGATTAGTTTTCTTCTCTAGTTGCAAAGTTCTGAAATGTGATTCCAGAACTGCCAGGGGCTATGGTCCTAGTGTCCTGAAAATAGCTGATATGAGAGAAGAAAGTTGGAAGGACAGGAGGGAATGAAACAAAAGACAGAAATCCTGTCTTTGACTTTTTGCACTTTGTTATTTGAGCTAAGCCATCTGTACTCTGTCACTGAAACCAAAGAATTCTCATTGATATGGTGGTCCTCATTCTATTCTCCTTCAGTCTGCCCACTCCCCTTGCACATTTCCACCCTCTCCCAGGGCCACTGACAAAATCAAAGCACTTCTGAGTCTGAAGTCAATGTCTCAAACCCTCATCTCTATCCGGAACTCCAGCTCCACCAAGGCCCTAGTCTCTGGATATCTCCAGGAGATAAGCCATGGGCACAACAAACTCAACATGACCACACATCTCCTCTGTCCCTAAATCTGCTCTTTCCCCTTCATTCTTTATCTCAGTGAATGGAACTAGCAATTGTTGAAGAAAACACTTGAGTCATCCTATGATCCTCATATCTAAATGATCACCAGGATCTGAAGATTTCATGTTTCAAAAGCTTGAGTCTCCCAACTGTATGTTGTCTGCAAGAAACTCACTTTAAATATAAAGACACAGATAGATTAAAGATAAAGAGATAGAGAAAAATATACCACGTTGATATTAATCAAAAGAAAGCTGGGGACTTCCCTGGTGGTGAAGTGGATAAGACTCCGCACTCCTAATGCA